AGCAGCTTTGTGCCATCTGCATATTTCAGGTTGTAAATATATCTTCCTCCAATGCCACATTTCCTCTGGGGCCTGGAATTGAGATTTCCTTTAAAGGGTATACCCCAAGGAACAGCTGGGTCAAATTCTATCCTAATTGAGGTGTGTGCCAGACATGTCATATTTAACTGAGGGCTTCTTTCTGCCCTTCACTTTCTTCCTTGCTGGAGATGACTGCAGGGTCTGGTCTTGGAGTCAGGGTAACAGCCGCAGCTTGCTATGGCGGGGAGTGGAGGTGAGGATAGGATGGGAAGTATCCAGTAGGATCTTCTGATCTTTTCTTGAGAATGCTGCTGCTATCTTTATCTTGTCTTAGATAATCTTGATTTCTCTTATTTATCTTTGCCAGAGGTGGGAAACACTCTATATACAACTTTTGACCCCTCTTGTTTTGCTGGCACAAAGTAGAGGGTTGCTATGAGTTGTAGTGGACTGGAGGGTACCTAACAAAGGTAACTGTGCAAAAGCCGAACCCTAAGAGTGCACTGCATTTCTGTCCCATTCTTCTTGTTGGGTTTTGGATGCTGTAATGTTCCCCGTCAAAATGTTGAGTCTATAGCCCAGAGAGACTCTCAAAACTTGAGGAGTGTTGTACTATTTCTCTTTTTCTTCTCTGCTAACAGCAGAGAGGAAGCCAAGGTATAGCCCTATATTGGTGTCAGTTGTTATCCATGAACTCAGGTTTAAATCACTGGAGCCTTTGATTACAAATAAGGCTCCAGGTTCTAAGAAGTAGAGAGAGAGGCAGGATCCTTTATTAGGTGACTTTGCCAGTAGGAAAAATCAGCAGCAAAGCATGCTAAGTTTCAGGGTTTCCCCAGATCTCCTCCTGATGAGTATGCAATGTTTAAGAAAAACACAGGCTGAGGGGCAAAAAGAGGTAGGCTTGCAGATTGTTCATAAAGAAACTTTTTGTTAAATGTCTTGTCAGGTGCTAGTTATCACTTCATCAGTCTGGAAACTTTAAGGCTTTATCTTTTCCTGATATCCAAATGTTTTTCTGAAGGTTCTCTTGGACTAAGTGGAAATTCCAAGTATTCCTATCTTAATAAAGAAGATGAGTTTACAGTTAATTATTAAAGGTTACTTAGAAGATGAAAGAATGGATTTAGGACTTTTCAGCACACAATAAATTGTGTGAATATTGTAAGAGTGAGAGTAATGAAGAAGGAGGCACTCCAGTAGTCCAGGTGGGAGGTAACAGGGGCTTCTTTTTGTTGTTAAGTGCCATTGAGTCAACTGGGATCATAGTGATCTTACACACAACAGCTCTGAACCCTGCTCTATCCTGAGTCAATCCCACTGTCTCTGACACACCTACCATTATTATACTAGTTATTGTGTCAGTCCATCTCATTTGAGATCTTCCTCTCCTGTGCTCTCTCAGCTGTTCAAAGCATTATATCCTTTTCCAAAGACTGTCCCTTCCTGCCTACATGTCCACAGTATGTCAAAATCCTTGCCTCCATGGAGTAGCTTGGTTTCACCCTTTTCAGGATGAACTGGATACTCTTCTCTAGCACCACAACTCAAAGGTATCAATTCTTCTTCTAACCGCTTTTGTTATTGTCTAGCTATCTAATGCATAGAAAATAATTGAGAGTGCCATAGCCTGGATCAAGCACACCTTAGTCTCTAGGCTGACATCCTTGCTCTCCAGTACTCTGGAGAGGTCCCTGATAGCAGATTTTCCCAATGCAATTAATCTTTTCACTTCTGAATGACTACTGGTGCCAAGAATGTTGATTGTGGAACTGAACAATGTGAAATTGTTCACAGTCTCAATCTCAAACTTTTCTCCATCTGTCATGATACTGCCAGTTGACTCAGTGGTTAAAATCTTTGTTTTCTTGATGTTGCGCTTCAGTCCATATTCCAAACTACAGTCCTTCACTCTGCAGCAAATGCTTCAGGTGCTCCTCAGTTTTAGCAAGTGAGACAGTGTCATCTGCATAATGCAAGTTGCTGATGAGTTTTCCTCCAATCTTGATGCCACACTCCTCATAAAATCCAACCTTAGACACAGGAATAAGGTTTACAGATAGAGAAGAGAGTATGGGAACATTTAAAAGACAACATTTTCTGATAGATTGGATAATGATGTATAAGAGGAGAGAAGTCAAGGCTGGTGTGAAACCCTTAGTATGATCAAGTAGGAGAAAGTAGCCATTTACCAAGATGTGGAAATTTGCAGATGTGACAGCTTTGGTGGCAAAAAAATTGCGTTTCTTAGGGACTAAAGTTTTTTGTGTTCTCTTCATATCTATTTCTCTTTCCTTTTCTTGCATTTATCCTGAGGTCCAGGAACCCAAACACTGCATGTATCCAAGTAAAACCATTAAGAGTCACTCAACTGTGAAAACATCCATTCTAGTTCCAACCCTCTCTCTCTTGGCCAGACACAGAGGCATCCAATGTTGATGGCTCCCTTTCTTATTCCTTGGAATCCATGCAGAGCCAAACAAAGCTTTTGTCCTTCAAACTCATCTTAAACACTTTATTTTGAATTAAGCAGGAGAAAGATGCTTGAAAGAGGAAAGTTGAGAAGAAACAGCGTTTGTTGTACATTTCTGGTGATGCCAACAGCTTGAACTGATTAGCTGGTTATTATGCATTCCTGTGCATTGCTTGTCACAGCAGTCTGAGTGGTGGTTACACATCACAAGTCCTGTGCAGTGTAGTATGGCCTCCTGGCTGAACACCAGATCTGAAAGGGTTAAGCAAGTCTAGTAATTTGAAAGAATACACACACACACACACACACACACACACACACACACACATGCAACCAAGAGATTTAAAAATATGATGTAAATCTACCTAGTAGAGAATGTGCTGGGAATAATTACCCCAATAGAAGAAATAATTAAGATGCAAAAAAAGGCAAAGAAACCAGTGCAATTAAAAAAAGCAAAGGGGGAGGGAAGTAATAATGTTTCCATAGCCTTGCATATTTTTGCTTTTCTTAAACATATTTGGAGACTCCCAGCAAGCTTTGGGTGGTGAAATGTATGGGAAAGATAGAACTCTGCAGGATTCCATAGTATGTAGTTAATTCTCCTTTTTTACAAGGTTCCAAATTTAATCCTGCTCATTTGCATGCCAATCCCCCAGAATGCTTTGTAATTTCACAACTGTTGGCTAGTGGTTTCTGCACTTAACCTTTGAAGAACAAAGCAAGATGTTTAGGGCGTGCCGCTGGCTTCAATCTTCCCGCCTCAACCCCCCAACCCGTGCTTTGCAAAAGAGAGAAGGGAGATAAGCTTTGTCTGACATTCATTCTTCCTTTGAGAGAACTGGAGAGATGAAGTGGAGAATGCTATGAGGGCTGCATTCAGTGTCCTTCCTCATGAATAGTCCCAGCTTGAATTAATTTACTTATGGGGGAGGGCGTTTGAGGGGATTTTATTTAGTCTGTCCTTTAATTGTATGACCAGGCTAACGTATTTAAGGCACATGGAAAGCCCAAGCTGGAGAGTCCTACACCTTTCTGTGGATGCCCTGCAAATCTTTTCTTGCTTAGTAAAAACCTTCTGTTTAAATGATGCTGTCTATATTCCATGGCTGATCCGTGTCCAGCGTTTTAAGATAAGTGCATTCCAAATTCCTAACAGAACTATCCCTGCTTGGTAGCAGCTGCAGTATTTCTATTTAGTAAGGTGTTAAGGTTGGCTTTTGGGAGCGAGTGTGGCAGGAGCCGTTTCTCGAGATAGGTTTTGTAATTTTTGCCTAGCTCTTGCTAACTTTCCTTGGTCATTGTTAAAATCATACGTTCAGTATTATTTTCCAGGATAGTCGGGGAAGCTTCACAACCTCAATCATCACTCAGACCGCACCCAAATATGTCTCCTTTGGCGGTTTGATTTTAGCCACCAACTCAGAACGACATAGTTTAGAGCTCGAAGGCCGTCATGCTTTCATAAGACCCTAACCTTTGTCTATCAGCCCTGACTGAAGTAACCTGGGGATTTTGAGTTGTGCACGTGGCTCAGTATTGAAGGAGGGCGGTGTAGTACTACACATCCAGGCATGGTTGCAGGCCAGGGACAGCCAGAGGCGTGCGCCTCCCCGCACAGAGCAGCTTTAATGCCCTTCCTTCATTCTGGGAGTCAGGCTGTGCAAGTGTTTGGGTGGGGTTTTTTTTGTTTTTTGTTTTTTAATATTATTTTTAAAATATAGAGAATGATATTACAACTGTCACCGTGCTTTCCAAGAATGAGTAATTGCTTGCATTTTCTGATAGGGATTTTCATGCGCGCTCTGGTGACGGCCGCGGGCAGGCCAGGCTGCACTGGGTCTGGCCGGTTCTCGACTTTGAAAGGGATTGCACCCGCGGTCTCCACATCCCAGCCACCAGCAGAGGCGGCGCCCGGTCCTTCCCTGTAACAAAGACCGCGGCCGCCGCATGCACCAGCGCGATGGCGGAGGGAGCGAGTTCCAGGAAGGAAGTCGGGAGCCGTCTCCTTTCTGAACAAGGGGTGGCGATGGTGGGAAATGACACGAGGACTTGGTCGGAGGCCTTGGCGCGTGGCCGAGCTCCTTTTGCCACGCCAGGAGGGCGATGCAGGGACTGCTTTTCCGAAAACCTTAAGCGGCAACATCTCCGCCCCGTAAAGTTCTTGGCGCCCCCTGGTGGCCGCGGAGCAGGTCTAGCACGGTCACATTCCCAAGTCAAGGGGGAAAAAAAGCAAGAAAAAGAAAAAAGTGGGTGAGGCAGATGCAAAGTGGAAAATCAATAGGGATAAGAGGGAAGAGGGAGGAGTCGAGGATCAGCCATTCTTGTCTTACGGGGTCCCAGCTGGCAACGCAAAAGAAAAAAAAAGGGGGGGACCCCACCCGGGCGTGAACGCGAGTGGAGGAGGGAGTGTGTGGCGAGGGGCCGGGGTGAAAGGAGGACCGGGGAGATTTACTATTGTCTCTGGCAGCCTCCGCGGGAGCCCGGGAGGGGGGCGGAGGCGAGAGGAGGCGGCGGCCGCGGCCAGCGCACCATTCGCTCCACCTGATCGCCGGCGCTGCGCGCGGAGGGAAGGCGCGGGCGAGCCGGAGCCGAGCGAGCAGGGAGGGAGGCAGCTGCCAGCGCCACCACCGCCGCCACCATGTCCTACCAAGGCAAGAAGAACATCCCGCGGATCACAGTGAGTTCCGGCGCCCAGAGCCGCCGCTTCCCTCCCTCTCTGGCTGGTCCACGCGCACGCGGGGGCAGCTCGGACCCCACCCGCGTCCCAGGCCCGTCCCCGGGGAGTCCCTGGGACCTGAGGGTCCTGGGGATGGCGAAGCGGTCAGTCCTGTTGGCGCGCCAGGCGCCAGACAGGCGTGCGACCCAGGGGTTTGGGGAAAACAAAACAAAGAGAAAACCCAAACAGTGGAGCTGAGAACTTTGGATTATTTATTCTCCTTTCCTACCATCGGGTAGTCCCCAAATAAGCACAGGGCTCTTGTCTCTCCCAGGACCCCGCGCTGCCTGGGATGTGTCCGTGCTTGGTTCCAGGCTACGGTGGCTTTTTGTTTTAAGATGCTTTCCAAGAGTCGGTTTGCAGGGAATTGACACCTTTCCCGGGGGTTGTAGGCTATCTGACCGCGCCCCTCTCCCTGCTCCAGTCTCCCAGTTCTGCGTCTCTTTCCCACGGCAGGATACTCTGGAGGTGTCTAGACCATCGCTCTCCCCATGTCCCCTTCTTCTTTCCAATTCATATTTCAATGCGTCATATTCGAGACTGAACAGCTAACGTGGCCGCAGCAAAAGTGACCATACATTTTACTTTGTTTATGTCATGTATTCTGCTCAACCCAAGAAAAGATTGCGTTTTCTGGACAGATTTTTAGCTTGGGGTCTCAGGCGCATCCTGTGTGTATGCTGGTGACCCTGCTATTGTGTGTAAGACCAAGACTCCTGGAGGCCGGTGGTGTCATATGCGCTAGGCGTGCGCTTAGGGAGGGGTGGGGAGAGGACGTGCCAGAATCAGGTATATCTTCAGATGCGCCCATCAAGACGATCCCTAGGGCAAAATGACCCCACCCAGGCTCCAGATTCCTTGGAAATGCACTAAAAATATGCCCTCAATTTTAGGGATATATGACAAACTGGATGACCATTTAGAAAAATAACACAGACGGTTTAAAATTTAGAATGAAGCAGCGCAGTTGCGCTTTGTCTATCATGAATTGGAATAAACCTGTGTCTGTGTGTATAGTGGAGAAATGGGTGACTACTCCATCTTTGTAAGATGAACAAAGGAAGTGATCCCTTGGCCCCCAGGACACACAGCAGCTACCCTTGGGCAAAGCGTACCCGCTACTGTAATTTGCCAGGCTTTATTGTGGGCTGTGTCTGTTTGCATTTGTTCCATTAGTCCTGGAGCACACCACATTTGTGATTGTGAAGCTGGACCTTCCCCTCCGCACGCTGGAAGGAGCCACTGCCTCTACTACACTTGATTGCCAAGTTGTTTCTTTTTCTTGCAGCTTCATGCCTCTGTCATGCACGTGAACTGCACTGCACACAGATATGTACCACAGCTACCTGCTGTCCAGCTGATCCCACCCAAGATACACTCCCCAGGGGGAGGAGTTGGGCTGAGTAGGGATCCTTTTGCTGGATACTGGTAGTTGGGTTTAAATCATACTTCCTTTTTCCTTTACCTAGTATCACCAATTACAAAAGAAAAACATGAGGAATTGTCAATACATACATAGGTTTTGGCTAATGCTAATTGTCTTTGCAAAGAGCTACTACAGGCACTTTAAAAATAATAATAATAAGCTAACTGATATGTAAGCTCAATTTTGAAAATCTGTTTCCCTAAGGAGCCCTAGCTTTCGTGCTCTTACACGCATGAGACATGCTGCATGCATGCTGCTGTGCTTTTACATCCAGTGTTCATTTACCTTTTTTTTGAGGGGGAAAAGCAGAGAATGGAATCCCCCTGCTCCCAGTCTTAAGACTGCTATGGATTTTTCTTATTAACTTAGTCTGTGATATGACACCCAGGGCCACGCCCATTCTTGTAGATATTTTTAAGACCACCTTTAAGGAATCATAACAAAATTTATAATTTATTGAACTTGTCTTTGTAACCTCAATGGATACTGCTGTGCTCAGTTCCTAGGGTCAGGTTTGCAAGGGGTGCCTTTTGTTTCTGTTTGGACAATCTTCCCTGGGCTCCGTCCTTCATTCTCAGCGTGGCTTCCACCCATCCTTTCTCTCTGAGCGTGGGGCGTGGTGCAGCATAGCAGCTTCTGCTTAAGAGCTATTGCTTAGGATCTGTGTCTCCAGCAGCTGTGACAAGAGTGGACAGTGGTTATGAATTTCTTCAAGCTAGAAAGCCTTGCATTCATTGTTCAGATGGGCAAGGGTTGGGGCAAAAGGGGCATGGCAGGAGGGTTCTCATCTTTGGGGGCACGGAAGCCATTTGTGGATTTTGCTTGGCTTTATGCTCAGTTTTCCACAAGTAGTAATTCTAATGAAGAATAAAACATATTTGTATGTATTCATGTCTGTAAGTGACTGTGGTTATCTACATACGGAAAAGGGTTGCTATTCTTCATAAATATCATTCAAAATGTAAAGCTATTGCCACCTAATACATACAGAAAATATGATTAAAGATCTAAATATAACACTTCTCTCACAGTTAACTCTAGAACAGTTTTTCACGGCAAGGTTAAGGTAATGCTGTTTCCTGTCTTCTGTATTCTTTTCTGAGAGGCATGCCCCACCCAGCAGCATTATAATCAACTCACTATAATCTGAGGTCCGGTGGGTACCATTTTTCTTGCATTAGGCATTCCTCACTGCCATCCCATTTAGACCAAAGTGAGTGTGCAGGGGCAGGCAGGTGTGTTGTTGTTTTTTTTTTTTGTTTGTTTGTTTTTTTTTTGTGTGTGTGTGTGTGTTTTAATTCATCCAGTTTTTCTGCCCTCCTGAGATTAAAGCATTAAGAGCCTGTGCTTGTTTCTTGGAGAAGTGGTTTCTCTGTCACTGAGTCTTTCCCTGTCACGGGGCTAGGGCTTTCTCTGTGAGCAGGTTAGGTCTCAGGTCTTCATTGTTCTGTCTGAGGTAATGTTTGTGGGTATCTGCCTACCTCAACAATAGCCCTTGCTCCTAAATGCCAGAAGCTGGCATTTCAGGATGCATTAGCAGATTAGGGAAGGGACCTTATAATCTTATTTATGTCTATCTCTACTTCAAGCAAAGTGCCGGACTTATAAATGCCTAATGATTGTCAGTTAAATCAGCAATGAGTGACAAGTTGTTTATGTTAATAATAATAGTTCACATTTAAATCTGTTGAGAAGGAACTGATTATGCTTGTGGTGACCCTCTCTGTTAAAGAGTAGAACGACTATTCTGTAAGGTGTTCATGGTTTTAAATTTTACAGGATTCCTGTGTGGTACACAAGGTTAAATACTCAAGTACTAACTGGAAATATTGATAACTCAAACCCACCTTGGAAGACAGGCATGGTGATCTGCTTCAGAAAGGGTTTAGCTTTAAAAACTCGATGGAGCAGTTCTACTGTATACACAAGGACAAAATGACAGTTTTTGCCAAAGCAGATTATCAGGCTTATCTTCCATTGAGCTACTAGATGAATCTGAACCCCAAACTTTAGGTTAGTTATTGCATGCAAGCTGTTTGTACCACCCAGGGAACCCACTTAGCTCAAGTTTACCAAGCGTTTTTGCCAGACATTGTACTTTGTGCCTTGCAAGTGAGAGGTACTATAGTCATTTCCATTTTATGGATTAAAAAAAGCCCCAACAAACCAGAACCAAAATACCCCCTTAGGAAAGCAAAAACATTTGTCCTAGGTCACAAATAAAAAAGTATCAGTGGCAGAATTTAAATTTACACACTTAACTGAAACCTCTGATTTCAGGATCCTCAGGTGTGCGTGCCCCTCACGCTTATGATCCTGTTAGTTCCTCTGTGTCTGCCCTCACTGTTATCTGGTGTAGCTAGAACAAACGATTTAGAAGAACTGAGGCTCCAAACAAAACCTGGAAATATATTTTCTTGCCTCCACTAACAAATGATCTCTCTTAACTTTTACATTATATCAATTATGCAGGTAGAAAGTGAAGATACTGACTGATATTTTCCTCTAGTTTAAACCACAGTTTAGAGCTGACCACAGGATTGGACAGGGAGCAATCATTTAAGTACCAGTGCTTTAAATGTAGGGAGCTCCGGTAGCTGTAGGGTTAAGGAGTTGTACTGCCAACTTGAAGGCACATAGTTCAAATCCACTAATTGTCTTGCAGGAGAAAGATAGGCAGTTTCCTTCCCTGTGATTACTGCCTCTGAAAACCTGCTGGAGGGTCAGCTATGAGCCAGTCTGATTAGATGGTACACGCAACTCCACAGAGTCCAAAGAAAATTGAAACATATAGGCAGGAAAAGTCACCCTCACAGCAAGAGATTTTGAGGATCGAGTTGCAAACCAAACCCAAGTCTTGCCTGATTTCAAAATGTAACCTGTCTTGGTGGCTGCTGCCCAGAAGCACGTGCAGCTGGGATTTTTAAAAGATGTAGAGTAGGATCTCCAGAATTTCTTGGCCCATCTCAAGGGGACAGATTTGTCCAGCAGACAAATTACACACAACTGGCACTTTTTTCCCCCCAAAGACTTCATTTGCTCATAATGCAAAGTTTGTAAATACAGTACAACAACTTTTGCATGTAATGCATTTTTGCTTTACTGAATTTTGGAGTGTGTGTGTGTGTGTATATCAGCTAGAATTGCTACCAGTTCCCTTTAGAAACACAGCCTGGAGAGTTCAGTCTGGGATGTGTAGCTCAGCCCTCACAATCCTGCATCTCACCTGAAGGCTGTGACTGTGAATGCTGTAGATCAGGGTGGGTTTTCTTTAGAAGGAGGAGGGAAGGAACTTGTATGAACTGGAGGAACACTCAGATCTCTGTACCAGTTAAACTTGGACCTTGAAAGAAGACACAGGGATAGGTCAAATGCCTGCCTGTCCCTAAGTTTGTGCATTCTTCTTGATTTAGTAAGTGTTGTTTTTGATGGGGAAACACATAGTGAAAGAAGAACTACCAAATTTTGGGAGATCACAGGAAGAGGGGTCACCTCACCAAGCTTTAGGTATCTTGAAAGGGAAATGAAGAGAAGA